TAAATTTAAACTACTAATAAATCTTTACCTTTATGCTTTAAAAACAATGTAGTGTCAACCTTCCCTTTTGAAAAACCTTTTTCAATTAAAAAGTTTGACAATCTTTCATACCAAGCTCTTGGAGCTTGTTTTAAACCATAAAGTGTTTTTGTCAATTTAAGAACATGATTTGGAAATTTTGATTATTCAAAACCTGGAGGTTGTTTCACATACACTTCTTTTATAAAACCATTTAAAAATGCACTTTTAACATCCATTTGATATAATTTAAATTCATGAAAACATGCAAATGCTAATAACATTCTAATTGCTTCCATCCTAGCTACGGGAGTGTATGTTTCATCATAGTCTATGCCCTCTTCTTGAGTATACCCTTGAGCAACAAGTCTAGCCTTGTTTCTCACTATATTACCACTCTCATCAAGCTTATTCCTAAATACCCATCTAGTACCTACAGTAGATTTATTATTAGGCCTTTCAACTAATGTCCAAACTTTACTTCTCTCAAATTGATTTAACTCTTCTTGCATAGCCATAATCCATGTTCATCATTTAATGCTTCTTTAATATTCTTAGGCTCCATGCATGAGATAAATGCAACATAATTACAAATATTTCTAAGAGAAGATCGAGTTGTTACCCCTTTGGATGGATCACCTATGATTTCACCATCCTTGACATAGTTGTACTCTCTTGGATAAGATACTTCCCTTTCTTCAATGGTTGGATTCTCGAGAGGATCATGGGTTACCTCATCTTTTGTTTCTTCCTTTGATGATGGTTCTCCAACGTCATGTCTAACTTCATTTGTATTTATAATACCTACATCATCATTCACACAAGAATCCTTCCTCGAAAGGGGATTATCATCGAAAACATGTATAGACTCTTCTGCAACAAAAGTTCTTTTATTAAATACTTGATAAGCTTTAGAATTTAAGGAATAACCCAGAAAAATTCCTTCATCACTTTTAGCATCAAATTTGCCAAGGTTTTCTTTACCGTTGTTCAAAACAAAACATTTACATCCAAAATGATGAAAACAGCTAATGTTAGGCTTTTTATTTTTGAAAATTTCATATGGAGTTTTCTTTAAAATTGGCCTAATCATTACTTGATTTACAACATAACAAGCGGTATTTGTGGCTTCCGCCCAAAAATATTTTGGCAAATTATTTTCACAAAGCATGGTTCTAGCCATTTCTTCTAAAGTTCGATTTGTCCTCTCAACAACTCCATTTTGTTGAGGGGTTCTAAGTGCTGAAAAATATGGCTAATACCATTAGAATTACAAAACTCAATAAATCCAAGATTTTCAAATTCAGTACCATGATCACTTCTAACACTAGTTATAGAGTAACTTTTTTCATTTTGGATTATTTTTGAAAATGTCATGAAATGTTATAATGCTTCATCTTTAGTACTTAAAAATAGAACCCAAGTATATCTAGAATAGTCATCTACCAAGGCAAATGCATATTGTTTTCCACCCAAGCTAGTAGTCCTAGTCTCCTATGTCATAACCAACTATCATGCTCATCTTTTGCAACAAGGCATAAATTAGTCATATCAATAGAGTCTAAATGCATCATGTATATGTTTCCTATTATATGACCAACAAGCATAATCCGATTAGATGCAATGTCAAAGACTTTACAACCATTAATATCAAACATCACATTGAATCCCTTATCACAAAATTGACTAATACTCAATAGATTATGCTTTAATCCACTCACATATAAAACATTCTTAATTTATATGGAAGAGGTATTACCAATAGTACCAATACCTTCAATGTGACCTTTTGAATCATCACCAAAAGTCACTTCTCCTCCATTTTTGGCGTTAAGCTCAATGAACCGGCTTTTGTCTCCGGTCATGTGTCTTGAGCATCCACTATCAAGGTACCATGAGTTTGAATTTGTTTCTTGTGCCTTGTAGCAATGCTCCTTTTCCTACAAATATAGATTAATTTCTAATTTTTGGTACCCAAATTCTTTTGGGTCCATATTCATTAGTTTCCAAAATTCTAGTCCCCTTAGGTATCCATTTGTGTAGGATATCCTTATCTTTAGTAGTAATGAGCTCTTTAGGAACCCATATACTTCTAACGATTTTTTTATTAGAGGTTCTTCAGGGACCTCTATGATTGTAGTTTTTAAAACTTTTTCTAACAAAGTTGGTTTTTGAATTTTCTCCTTTTTCAAAACGTTTTGTCCAACTTTATCAAAAGAAGCTTTAAGATCATCAATTTTCTTTTGATGATCATCATTGACCTTTGAAAGTAAATTTTGCAAATCCAAATTTTTCTTCTCAAACTCTTCTAGTTTGATTTGCAAATCTTTGATTTTACTTTCAAGATCATTGTTGGTTTTGGATATGAGTTTATTTTCATTTTTCAATTTTGAAACATCATTTTTATATTTTAAAAACAATTTCTCATAATCCGAAGTCAACCCATTATATTCCTCTAATAACTCATCATAGGATAAATCATCAAAATCAGATGAGTTAGAGGTTACCTTAGAATCTTCCCCAAATGCCATCAAGCACAAGTTTGTTACTTCTTGTTCCTCTTCATCGGAACCTTCTTCATCGCTCCATGTAGCCACATGAGCCTTGTGCTTATTCTTTGATTGACCCTTTCTCTTCAATTGTGGGCAATCGTATTTGACATGCCCCGGCTTTTTGCATTCATAGTAAATGATCGGGTCCTTCTCTTTTGGTTCATTTTTTGAGGCCTTCATTTCGTTTGAATTTTCTCCCTCGGTAAGGTATCATCATTTTTTTGAACCATTTGGCAAACAATGCCATTTCCTCGTCATCGTCATCTTCATCCCAATCACTCTCATCTTTTTTGGATTGAGAGCAACTCTAATGTTTTTCTTCTTCTCCTTCTCCTTTGGTGTCTCTTCAATCTTATCGAGGTCCACCTCATCTTCAAGCATCATTTCATGAGTGAGGAGTGAACCGATTAGCTCTTCAAGAGTTAAGGACGTTAGGTCCTTAGACTCGATGATTGCCGTCTTCTTTGATTGTCATGATTTTGGAAGGGAGTAAACTAACTTCCTCACAAGCTTTTCATTTGAAATGGTCTCTCCATATGATTTGAGACCATTGACAATCGTTGAGAATCTATCCGTCATAGCTTTGATATCTTCATTTGGTTTCATCCTGAAATTTTCATAGCTATGCGTTAGAATACTAATTTTAGATTTTTTTACCTCATCTGTACCTTCATGAGCGACTTGAAGCTTGTCCCATATTTCTTTGGCGGTAGTACAAGATGAAACTCTTCCGTATTCATCTGGTCCAAGAGCACAAAATATGATATGAATGGCTTTGGAGTTGAGCTGGAACATTCTTGTCTTCCTTCACTCCACAATCTTGGATGAGTGAGAGGCTTGATGTATCCTTCTTCTACGGCATTCCATGCTCCCATGTCACTTGCTTAAATAAAGTACATCATCCTATTCTTCCAATACGCATAGTTAGCTCCATTGAAGAAAGGAGGCTTGTTGACAGGCATCGAATCGAGACCGGAGTCGAAGTTTAAAGTGGAGTCCATTGATGACTTTGATTATCGATGTAACTCTTCCCGAATCGACTCAAGAGGCGATTAAACCTTCAAATGAGTTAGGCTTGATGCCAATTGTTGAGCTAATCGATCGAAAATATGGCCAAGAGGGGGTGAATTGGCAATTAAAATTTTGGTGGAAGTTTTTGCAGAAAATTGAAAGTAATTGCACAGCGATTTAGAGTGGTTCGACTTTCTCAACCAAAGTCTACGTCCACTACCTTAGCTATCCACACTAAGGATTTTCCACAGATTCACTAATTTGTCTTTCTTTTGAGGACAAAGAGTAACCTTACAAACCCTCAAGAATTATACCCCAAATTCTTGAGAACACTCTCTCCCAAAGAGAACAATACAAATTTGTAAACTTACAAGGAAATCCTCACAAGGTAGGTTGTTTGCACAATTCTAGAACAAAGAAAAGAACACTCAAGAATAATACAATTGAGCACAATAAGTTTCTTGAAAGCAAAATGAATATTGAATGAAAAATAGGCTTGAAATGCTCAAACTTGAGGTTTGAAGCTTTCTCTTTGATTCTCTCTTGATTCTAGTTGCTTGTTGTTTCTTGTTGTTGATCAATGGCTTCTAAGCTTGTTTAAATACACATTGAATCACTTCTGAAAGTTGAGGATCATTAATGAAGTTATTGGAGCCGTTTAAGTGTGAAAACAATTAATATTTCTGCTTGGAGCGTGGGGGAATCGGTACCCCTCATGGGGAATCGGTTCCCTAAGTGTAAAATTCAAATATTTCGACCGTTAAACTGTGGGGGAATCGGTTCCCTCCGAGCATTCTGTTTTTCTCGGAGCCAAACCATTCAGGGGGAATCGGTACCCCTTGGGGGGGAATCAGTTCCTTCTGAGCAATATGAAATTTTTGGCTTTGAAATGGTTCAAAATATTTTGTAAAATTGTTTTGAAATTATTTTGAGACTAAAACTTAATTTTACACTTGAGTAAGGATTAAAAATGACTTTTGAAAGATTTGGAGTAATATTTTGATATTCGAATAATTATATCGAATATACTTAGAAAATCATTTGGAAAATCTTAAAATTCATTTAACTTAATTTGTTATATTAAAATATCAAAATGTTTTCAACATATAGTTTCATAACCATAATACAAAAAAGAAAAACAAGTTACGTGACGGGAATTTTCCTTGAAGAAAACTAAACTACTCTTCTGCTCGGTAATGATGTATGTGATCATACAAGTAACTGCTCACTTTGGAAAAATACACTTATGCAACTTAAGTATACATCATTTGACGTGTCTCAACTACACCATGAATATGATTTACACTCGATTATACATCATTTTCCATGTATGTTTATTTTTGTACGTCTCTTTTACGTATCTTGACCAAAAATAAAGGCAGATTTCTAAATAAAATTTGCATTACACTTCAAAAAAGATATTACATTGCAAGATATTACAGCAGTTGCAATGTCTCGTATGGCTAGTATATATAATATACACCAAACAATCCTGAAAGCAATGATCAATGCAGCGCATGTGTAATGTCACACGATGAAGTTTGTACCAATCAATCTGAGCTGATTCTGTAGTTCTTGGTTCACTGCTGTTGCACACACCACTGATCTTATAATAAGATACTTGATATTTCAATCATGTGGCTCCACATTGATTTGTAGCCTTCTAGCCCATCCACAACTTCAACACCCTATCCTTACCCCCAGAGGCAACTTTCTCACCATCTGGACTCCAATCAACGGCAAAAACCTGTCCAAATGAGAACGAAGATCAATCACAAGTACATATCAGCAAACCAATATCAATGATTCTTTGGCTTTGCTATTACTAGTAGCATGGAGAGCTTACCTCGTCTGCATGCCCTGGAAGGTCTTGTTTCAATTTTTTTGTTCGAATATCCCAAACCTTGTAACAAGAATAGCAAGTTTGTTAAAAAAACATTAGGGCATTCAACTAAAGAATCAGGACTTTTAGGGGAGTACCAAAGATTGGGGTTGGCAGGAACAGGGGGAAGGAATCTAAGGGAAAGTAAGGCAGGAAGGACAGATATGTAGCAGAAGCTGAACAAAGAGAACGATAATGATACTAACAATGAGGCAATGGCAGAACAATAACACTTAACTAAGTCAGAAAGTACAAATAAAACCTAACTTCAATTTGTTCATTTCTACACCATCGAAACTAGAGCACGTGTGTATGTTTATAAAAGAATGCCCAATGATTAATCTCGACAATTTCTCAGGATCTTTGAATATTAAAAAAGGGGGAAGAAGATAAAAAGTTCCTATGACTGACCTTCAAGGTGGAGTCTTTGCTTCCGCTTAAAAGAAGCCTACTATCTGCAGACCAACTGGAGGGCAAAATGCAAGTTAATTATTAATCCTAAGAAACAACAGAAAAGTGACATGGAAATAAACTATAGAAATAGCTCAAACCTTATTTGATATACAGGCCCAACATGACCTCGGAATGCAGCAACAAATTCTCCGGTAGCTCCATTCCATAGCTTGACTGACTTATCAAACGATGCACTAGCCACCCATAGCCCATCAGGTGAGAAATAAACATGGTTTACAAGCTGCAAATGACCAACAAAACATAAAACAAAGTTAATTTTAAGAATGAGGAAATCAACAACTGGGATTACAATCATACAGAGTTGCAGCAGTATACATTGTACCTGTTGATGACCAGTCATGCGAACTTTGTGGTGTTTACTTACAGCAGGTTCCCATAGGAACATGGTAAAATCATCAGATCCTGATACCAATCTCTCAGGGGCATTGCCTTTCATTTTTTTGTACCTTTCTAGAGCAACCTAAATTATACAAGGAAATTTAATTACTTATCTACTGAAGAGAGGGAGAGTAGGAAGCTTGAATATATCCATGGAAAAGAACAAATAATTGTTGTTGTAGAGAGAGAGAACATCAGCAGACTTAAAAAGATGTGTTTCATTGATAGAAGAAATTATAGCACCACCTTCTTCATTTCTTCTGGAGACGAATATTGTTTACCAGTATGATCAAAAGCTCCAGTGCGAAGAACATATTCTGTGCTCAGTGCAAGTGAGTTAACCCAATGCCCATGACCCTAAAACAAGTAGCATAAACAAATGAATGTCTGTAATAAAAATTCAGAGCATATACAGTAACAATTGATGCATAAACATACAACAGTGTAGTTTAATGTGTACACATGATGACTAAGAGATGTTCTAGAAAATGAAATCACCTTCAATTCACGAATCAGCTTCCCTTGTGAAGTTTCCCATACTTTGATAGTACAATCCTGGGATCTTCAGCCAGTTTGAGAAAAGATCATTAGTAATAAGCCGTTAAAGTTAAAAAAAACTGTTAATAGAAAGTGCTTATTATTTCTGTCATTTCCAAAGAAAATAGAGCCTCCAATTTCAAGAAACAGTGTGATATGTCAATAAAAAAAATTATCAGAATCAGAGAAACAGAACAAAATTGTACCCTGTATATATGACTCCATCTCCACCCCATTTCACACAAGTTACCGCAAGTGTGTGGCCACTGAGACAAATAACACATTTCTTTAAGGAAATATCCCATATGCGGGCATCACCATCTTTGCTAGCACTTACAAAGCGACGGCATGGAGCATTCAGATGGACAGGTTCCCATGAGATACCTGTGATCCATTTCTTGTGGCCCTAAAACAGAATCCAAGTATATGAAGAAGGCAATTGACTGAACAGAAAGTATACCATTGCTTTTTACCAATCAATGAGACAGTTTCAGTTTAAAAGAGGTCGACAAAGTATGCTGAATTATTAAAAATAATTATTCAAGAATAAAGGCTTTACAGTCAGTGGATTGCCGGTAGGCTTTCCTGTTTGTGGGTCCCAACATAGTAATTCTCCAGACTTGCTTCCACTGACAAGATGTTTCCCATCAGGTGACCATGCGATACAAAGAACCCAATTTTTGTGTCCTGGAAAAAATCAGAAGACAAATGATTCGCATAAAAAAAACAATGGATGTACGGAATTACAATAACATGAATTAAATGTTACATGGCCTCTTTTTTTCTCAGTCCATTTGTATGCTTAAATACTTGTATGCTGCTCAAACAGTTTCTCAGTCAAGCTGATCAAGAAAACAGAAAGTATACAAATTTCTAACCTGTGCATGTAAACATTGGTGTCTGAGTATTTAGGTCCCATAGTCGGACAGTCGTATCCCCTGAGCCACTTGCCAACTGTCTTCCATCAGGACTAAAGGCAACAGAAAGTACTGCTTCAATATGACCTATTGTGACAAAACAAAAATAAAGATTTAGGATAAACAATCCAATCCAGTTGTTCTGAAGGGATGATAGTAAACATTTTACACCTAATTGATCCATATAAAAAAAATATGAATATGTTAATGTAAGGTTCTTTTTTGACAATATAATTAGCTGAGCCTGAACCTGAACCTGAACCTGAAAAAAATCAATTCCTTTAAAAAGTTTAATAATATCATTACATCAAGAGACCATGCAAGATGCAACAGGCAATTTGTTTCTTTCAAGAAGAATAGCGAATGAAGCAACGATTTCAACATTAATGCCGTTAAGTTTTTGATAATAAAAATAGATCAATCTCATACCAGCAATTGTAGCTGAACACCGATTAATTGGACGAATCCTGAAAACTGCCTGAGGTTGATAAACTATGGATAGTGTTTTCTCCATGGAAGCTGAATATTTGTTGATCCAAATGGATCAGCCAATAAAAGGTAAAGCATATTGAGAAATGTAAAAGTCTAAAAGAGTCAAAGTAATAGAAGTAGAACTGTCACATAATTCACTGTCATTAGTTCCCCAACTGACCTTTATTTTTCTCCAAATAATTTCCAAGTGGCACAAGAAGCTCTTGATTAGATATATAAAATGCATACGGTAGTTTCTCCTCCTGAAGAAACCCATATAGCAAAGTTTCTCACTTTTATCAGTTCTAAGCATTTTATTATCATGAAAACTATATCACATTTGGAAGTAAAATGAGCATAAACGTTTTGAACAATTCAACCAAAAATAAGCAAGCAACTTGCACAAAATTTCAAATAAGAATTCATCAAATGTAAACCAAACGAAAAACAAAAACAAAAGTGAAGACTTGGAACTAGTTAAAATAAAATATAATGCAATGTAACAGAACAAGAAAAATAAAAGGTTACATTTTTTAGAAGCGTATTGACAATTTGTTGAAGCTGAAGAGGACCGACGTTCTGGGGAAGGTATATGGTGCCTCCCAGAGTGGTTCCTTCCGGGTCTGTTAACAAGCACATCACGCTTTTCCCCGTCTCTGCTTGCTCTCTTTCCACCTCCATTTTCTCTTTTCCTTTTTTTGGCTGTAGTGATAAAATGCAGACTTTGGAGGGGAAATTTGGTTTATTAGGTTTAAGGTTTTTGGTTGCCGCCGGATCGAAAATAGATTGGGAATTTCTTTGGTTTTGAGGGTTTTTCTGTCGGGGTTTTAAATGGCAGTGTTGGGCCGTGGAGAGATCCACCGAAATGGCTTCGGCTGACCTATGTGGCCACATTATCAGCCCATGATTAATCACCACAAAAGATGCTTTTTCCATCGTTGACTTCATAATTTGTTAGGGTAAATTACGTATTTAATATCCCAACTATTATTTTTATTCTGTTTTAGTCATTCAATTATTTTTTATTTTACATTACATTTTAGTTTTATTTTAGTCGTTCACTGTTAAGAATTACGGTGATGGTTACGTGTTATTATAAGATAATATTACATCATCATTGAATTTTTTTTAAAAATACTACATCATCAATACTGTTAATATTCTAACCATGAATTATTAAAATGAAACTAAAATGTGACATTATATATATATATATATTAAATAATAGTTAAGTGATAAAATAGAACAAAAGTAATAATTAGTGTGTTAAACTTGTAGTTTATCCAATTTATTATCATCACGTCATTGCTGATGGACCATATGCAATGTGGTATACTATTGTTTAGGGTAAACTACACGGGATACCATCAAACTATGGTCCTTAATCAATCTTGCCATTGAATATTTTTTATCTCAATTCGACCACCTAACTTTTTAATTAATTAAATCAGACCACCGCACCGTTAATTTTAACAACTTGGTGATGTATCGTTAATAAAATTGGCATAATTATATATTTGGTCCTTGATATTTATATATTTTTTAATTTAGTCACTATTTTAATTCAATTAAATAAATTTAATTATCCAATTAGAACATGACACGTGTCAATACATAATTGGAAAATTTTATTTATGAATTTTAAATTATATAATTAATTGATTTTTTAACCAATCAGATGGTGACACATGTCACCATCCAATTGAAATGGAAAATAAAGAGCACAAATATGCGCCCAGGAGAATCGAACATGTGTTTAGGGGGAGAGTAACCAGGCACCTAAACCATTGAGCCAAAGCTCCTAATGGTTCAAACTTACAATAATTTGTATTTGACTTGTAAAAGTTTGTTAATGATAAAAAAATTAAACAAATTATTTGTTTAAATAAATTATTTTTTCTTTAACTATTAATCGAATTAAAATTTATTTGAAAATTATTAACTGAACCAAATTAATCGTTAATCGGTGAATAATTTTCAAATAAATTTTGGTTCGATTAACGGTCAAATAATTTCGGTCGATTAAATTTATTTGAAAAAAATTTGGTTAATAATTTTCAAATAAATTTCGGTTCGATTAACAGCCAAATAATTTTGGTTCGATTAACGGTAAAATAAGGGTAACGGTCAAAAAATTCGGTTAATTCGATTTGGTTTATAATTTTCAAATAAATTTTGGTTCGATTAATGGTTAAAGAAAAATAATTTATTTAAACAAATAATTTGTTGAATTTTTTTTATCATTAACAAAATTTTACAAGTCAAATACAAATTGTTGTAAGTTAAACCATTGTGGAGCTTTGGCTCAACGGTTTGGGCACCTGGTTACTCTCCCCCTAAACACAGGTTCGATTCTCCCTGGGCACATTTTTGTTCTTCTATTTTCCATTTCAATTGTCACCACCTGATTGGCTAAAAAATAAATTAATTATATAATTTAAAAATTCATAAATAAAATCTTTCAATCATGTAACATGTGTCATGTTCTAATTGGATAATTAAATTTATTTAATTGAATTAAAATAGTGACTAAATTGATAGAATATGTAAATATTAAAGACCATATATAATTATGTCAATTTTATTAACGGACACGTCACCAAGTCTGTTAAAATTAATGGTGCGGTGGTCTGAATGAATCAATTAAAAAGTTTGGTAGTCGAATTGAGACAAAAAATAGTTCGGTGGTAAGATTGATTAATGACCATAGTTTAGTGGTCCCCGTGTAGTTTACCCTATTGTTTATATAAAGCCTAAAATTAGAGTGGACATCGTGCAGGTATTTTGATTATCCCTATCCAAAATTACATGAATTTTTTGGTATTTCAAAAAAAATTAATTTTGTATTTTAATTTTATTATATTTAGTTGGTAAAATAGTTTTCTAATTCTCTATATTTTTAGTTTTTAGTCAGGAGGGTAGAGTCGATTACAGTCGACGGTGCCAGAAGGAGAGGACGACCAAGGCGGAAGTGGGAAGACTGCTTGAGATCTGATTTGAAGGATTTAGCCCTTACCGAGGACATGATCTGATAGGAAAGTATGGAGACTTAAGACCAGGATAGCCGAGTAGTGTGGGTCATATCCATAGGGTGTATCATCTCTGTCTTCTTTTAATGCCTTTGTAGTAATTTCTATGACTTTTTTTACGTCTCTGTCATTGGAATTTATGAAGGCTTAGAACTAGGGTAGCGGAGTAGTGTTGCCTTAGTTTAGGTTTTAACCCATTTGACTTTATTCCTTCTCGTTGCTTGCTATCGTTGACTCTTTGTGTATCCTTCTCGTCATGTTTCCACCTTTTAAATTTTGTCGGGTCTTACGTTTCTATCTATATGCATATATTTTTACACAAGGATTCATTTACAGGGATTACTTCCCATTACAGACGCGCATATGAAGATTGCATATGAAGACTGTTTCAACTATGTATTTATATATACATGCATTGCATTTTATCTTTATTTTTAATTTTCTGACTGCGGATGTCTTCCACGGAAGCTGCTTTCAACCTGGCGTTGGGGGCAGCCTACTACCCTACCTCCCCCTTACCCCATTGCATATGGGAATAGGGTTTTATTATTGTTGTTGTTTAGTTTTTATCAATTTTATCTTTACGATATTATAAATATAGACTATTGTAAAATTGTATTATTTAATTAATAGTAATTTATTTATTTTTAAATATTAAGAGTTAAATTGATAGAACTGTAAACATGATAAGTAAAAAGTTGTTTTCTAAAGAAAAAAGTTAATCTATTAATGAGTTGGTTTAAGTAGTAAGCATTTTGATATCGCTCAAATAAGGCCTCAAGTTTGAATCCTTGTATATGTAGAAAATCCTCGTTGGAGACTCACCCCTCAAAATCAGTTGTGCGACCACGATCGATTTAAATTAGTTAAAGCAAAACCTTAACAAAAAAATTATTATTTTTGGAGCATCCTTCTTTTCCAGAAATGAATTTGTTAAGCGACCATATGCGACTTACATCATCCACTGTCTCGTGTTGGTTATCGTTGTTGCTTGATGACTTCAAACATATTATTTCTTTTTGTCTAGTTGTATCAACATCATCGTAGCACCCTTGAAAAGCTTTTTTTACTGCGTCATTTGAGCTTCATGTATTGCAGTTTAACGTGGCTCTTCAGTTGTTTCCTGGAGCACCCTTCTGGACCATTGATGTGTTTTTGCATTTTTATTCTACCACTTCGAGTGACATTGCCATAATGTGATTATTAACTCGGGAATCAATACCTTCTATGACATGATATGTGTGAAACATGTGTTAATTCCAAGATAATTATCCTAGAACAACTTTCAAAGAACTCACAACGTCCCAACATGTCAAAGCGGATAAAAAATATCTACCCCTTCGTGTGGCATTGTCGTTTTAAAATCCTTCTAATTTTGATAAATAACCCGGGTATTAACATCATGTTTATGCACAAACAAAGCAACGGGACGAGGAAAAGATGTTAGCAAAAATAATAATCAAAGAGAGGAAATGTATATTAGTGAAATATGAAAAGATTAAATTCAACTGGTAAATGAACCATAAAATACAATGAATAAAACACACAGAGGAAATTAAAATCCTAACTGCATAATTTCTAGTTCACATGCAAATTATTCAAAAATAATCTATCGAATAAATTAAAATACGAAGGTTAGAGTTCATTTCTCTTTTGTGTACACTTATTTGGATACATATAGACAAAATTTCAGCATGATCTTAGATCGGGTGGGTTTCTACAGTTTACTATATGCAGAGTTCTGATTCTAGGAGTAAAGGTACTCAAATTGTCCTTGTCGGTGCCCCTTGGGCGAGCCAGACCCACAATCCTCACCCATTATAGGCTTAAGCGAATCGAGTTCAATTCGAGAGGCATATTTCCCTATGCATGACACTGAGAATAAATCCTCACTAAGACATAGGGCATATGAACCCCGAAAGCTACTTGCTAAGTCTGACACGAAGAATAAATTCTCATGAAGACGTCGTTTTCACTCCCACTTAAAGGGGAAAGAGCTCGAGTATAGAGCCTATGTTATGCAATGCAACTGTTGTATGTGAAGAGAAATTTTCAAACCTTTGACAAACAACCACACAAAAATCGAGTTGAAACAAAACAAAAATTTAATATCTGAAAATCAATCAAATACAAACATTAATATATAAGGATATAAAATAAAATAATAAAAAATAATAAAAGAATTGAAATAAATAAAAAGAATCGTAAATGAAATAAAATTGAATTCTCAATTTTCAACTATAGAGACAATATATAATCGATTTAGGGCTTGATCCACTAAGTCCCCAGCGGAAGTTACTTTAAGACGATCATATTATGATATTTTAAAATAAATAAATACCCTCTTTAGAAAAACCTAAAAAATTTGAATATGCCTACTTTAGTTTTATTCATTTTGGTTGAATCAAATTATTTTAATGTTGAGTTCTTGGGATAAATTATTATATTCTTTTTATTTCAGTTGGAAAGAGAAATATTTGTCCTAAAGTATTTTAGGAATTATTTTCTCTTCGATTGGAAATATTAGAATATTTTTATTTCTCGTAGAATTTCTCGTTAAATAAAAATTATACGGTTGAATTTGGAATAATAGGATCATAACTTAAATTTATATTTGAATTCTTAGATTTTCACTAATAGAGATAATTTATAATCGATGGGTACCAATTTTGGACGTTGTGGGGCTGCTTATCCCCCCACACAAGTAATCGATCCTCGAACCCCTTTTTTATTACAAAAAAATAAATATCT